AAAGAACTGGACTACACACCTCTAATCCTAGACATTTAGGAGACAAGAAGATCAAAAGTTCCAGGTCATCCTGGGTTAAACTGCAAGACCCTGTCTCAAGCCAAGCAGTGGTGGTGGACATCTTCAATACCAGCCAGAGCTACACAAAGAAATCCTGTCTTAAAACACACACATACACACACACACACACACACACACACACACACACACACAGCCCTGTCTCACCTAAAAAGTTAAAAGTTGGGGCTGGAAAGATGGCCCAGTGGTTAAGAGCACTCACTGCTCTCCCAGAAGACCAGAGTTCAGTTCCCATGACTCACATAAGATGGCCAAGAGATCTGATGCCTTCTTCCGGCCTCTGTAAGCACCCCTACTCACATGACATGCACACATAAACACACATATATATGCATAAATAAAAATTAACCTTAAAAAAAAAGTTAAAAATTAGCCAGATGTGGTGGCACACGATTTTAAGACCAGAACACAGGAGGCAAAGGTAGATGGACTTCTGAGTTTGAGGACAGCCTGGTCTACAGAGTTCCAGGACAGACAGGGCTACATAGAGAAACCCTGTCTTAAGAAACAAAGAAAAAAATTAAAAATTGGCTGAAGGTATAGTACAGTATTAAAGCACTTGTCTAGCATACATGAAGCTCAGGACTACAAAATAATAATATAATAATAATAATAATAATAATAATAATAATAATAATAAAGAAAGAGACCAACCAAGCAAGGAAGAGCTCCCCAGCTCCCCACTGCCACAACCTTCCAGGGTCTCCAATCCCCGGCATGCCACAGTTGATGATAGAGGCTAGGAAAAAGATTTGCTGCTGAAGCTAGAGCCCAGGCTCTCAGGCCCCTCAGGCCCCTAGCTGTCTACACACCAAGGAAAGTACCGAAATACACATCAGAAACCCATGGGCCCAATTTCCTACACGCCTGTGTACAGCTCACCACACCCTAAACCTGAGAGACACACAGAGCAAGCCCAAGAGTGGGCCCAATCAGAGAGGCCAGGAGGGCTCCAGGATGGACAGTCATAAATGTCAGGCCTTCCTGTCTAGGTGCCAGAGCTGTGCCTGGCACTGGGAGAAAGCAGGCTGGACATGACCACATACATCCAGCCAGGACACCTGCCCCAGCAGCAACTGCAAGCCAGGCCTCCCGGAGACCTCTGCAGAGAACACAAGGAATATGAAGCCCTGCAGCTCGGACGTTCCTAGACCTGGAGAGTCACCTGGCTGAGCTTGCTGTTGTAATCTAAAAAATGGGGGAAAGAAACCAGGCATGGAGGTACATATCTTTAGTCCCAGCAGAAGCAGGCAGATCTCAAGACCAGCCTCGCCTCGGCTACAAAGTGAGTTCCAGGACAGCCAGAGCTACACAGAGAAACCCTGTCTCAAAAGAAAAAAAAAAAAAAAAAAGTGGGGGAAAGACCTCCACCATACTCACAGAACTCTCCCTGAATCCTCAAAAAATCAGTCTATCTGGGTGTGGTGGCGCACACCTTTAGTCCAGGTGGATCTCTGGGTTCGAGGCCAGCCTGGTCTACAGAGCAAGTTCCAGGACAGCCAGGGCTGCACAGAGAAACCCTGTCTCCAAAGAAAAAAAAGACAACAAAAAGCGGAAGGTGCTGGAGAGACCACTCTACAATTAAGACAACTTGTTGCTCTTTCAGAGGACTGGTACTCAGCTCCCAGCACCCTAGGAGGCTCATACCGCCTCTAATTCCAACTCCAGGGTATTAGATGATCTCTTTTGTCCTCAGTCCCCCTCAGGAAAGTACACACACATAGACACATAGACATAAAAAAAATTACACTTTAAAAACGTTTCAAGGGGGCTGAGGATGTGGCTTAGTTGGGGTGTCCCCCGCCCCGCCCCCCCCCTCGCCCCCCGCTTGCCTGGCATGCATGAAGCCCTGAGTCCCATCACCATCACTTAACAAAAGCAGGTGTTGTGCCACAGTCCCAGAGGAAGGTGGAGGCAGGAGAATCGGTTCAAGGTTATCCTCAGCTACATATCAAGTTTGAGGCCAGCTTGAGCTATAAAAGACCCTGCCTTTTAAAAAATAAATAAATAAGTAAAAAGCAGATGGAGGCAACAGCTTGCAGTTGCCCTGGACAATGTCCCAACCCAGCCTTCCCCCATCAAGTGCAGTCTGGCCTTGCCCAGCCTGGGGGAAGGAGTGACAGGGAAGTGCAGAGACAGTTTCAGTGGGTTCTGGGAAGCCCTGCTTCTTCTGTCCCATTGGGGTCAAGGGGCTCCAGGGACTCAAGGTCCACAAGCTCAAGGCTGAGTGAGGCCCCGAAGCTTGTACTGTAAGGGTCTGAAGGCCATCTTTTGGAAAAACAACAGAAAAGGTTATCGTGGTGGTACAACCTCTACAAACCCACCAGTCTCTGTGCCGGGACCATGGCTATGGTGGAGTCCTGGGTCCCAGTCTGTACGGGACTGAGTGGCCTGGGAATCTGGGGCTATGCTAAAGCCAGGAAAGTTCCAGCAAACCTGAACAAATCAGTCACCTGAGACCCAGAGCACAGGTTCCTTTAACTCCATGGAGAAGTCTGGGGCTGCCAGACCCCGCAGGAGAGGAGAGAGGACATTGGGGACTCACTCCAGAATGTGCTAAGATGTCTCTACATATCACAGACTATTCAAAAAGATGGGATGGAAACAACACAGCATGACATGAAATTTACCCCACTCGCTCTCCTTTCTTTTCCTTTTTCCCCCAGGACCGAGGTCGGAGACCAGGGCCTTACACTTGCTAGGCAAGTGGTCTGCCACTAACCACACCCCCAGCCCCTTTCTAAGGGTGTACTTTAATGGTATGATGTATCCTATCTTGTCCAATCACCAACCGTGATTTTTGTGCTTTCCAATAACCAGCAGGTATTACTTTAATGATCAGGTGTGTGTGTGGGGGGGTCTTTATCTTCTTTTTAGACAGTCTCATGTAGCTCAGGCTGGCTCCAACTTGCTATGTAATTGAGCCTTGAACTCTTGATCCTCCTGCCTCAACATACTGAGGTTACAGGCATGGGTCACTCACTCAAAGCTTTTTTTTTTTTTTGGGGGGGGGTAATGTTTCTCTGTGTAGCCCTGGCTGTCCTGGAACTCACTCTGTAGACCAGGCTAGGCTCGAACCCACCTGCCTCTGCCTCCAGAGTGCTGGGATTAAAGGTATGTGCTGCCACCACCCAGGATCAAGGCTTTTTATCTAGATTTTAAAAACATGAAAGCCTTTGGGCCAGAGTTGGACTTGATCACCCAATTTAGAAACTACAGGATTTGCAATCTCCCCTGGAGCAGAAATCCAGTCCTTTGGACAGGAAGACTTGGATTTGAATGCTTGCCTGCCATTCTTAAGATCAGTGAGTGGGTGCCAGACCTAATTAATTTTTTTCCCTCCTGCTCAGCATGTCCTCCTTTTACCCCAATGTATACAAGTTCAAGCCCTGTGCATCCCACCAGACCCAACATGACATCACCTCTATGAAGAACCTCAATTCCACAGCAGGGAGACCCTGTCCTGGCTCCCTCCCCAGTGGGACTGTGGGCTCCCTGAGCTTCAGGGCTAAGCCTGAGTCATGCTGCCTTCCCTCTGGGCCTGGCAGACTCAATAAAGCTTTGCTAAATGAAGCCATCGCGGGTAGAAATGACCCAAGCACAAGAAACGCCCACACCCCCTCACAAAGCGTGTGCTTCCCCACCTCCCAGCCAGGTGCCCCAGAGAGGTCAGAGAAAGCAGCACACAGTCAACCCACCTGACCAGGATTCCCACTTTACCCAGGGGCCTGTAGGGAGGGACTTCTGCAACTTAGGGAGTGCCAGGAATAAATAAATTCAGTGTCACAAATCCTCATGGATATATCTGGGCTGCACGGCCCTAAAGAGTGCCGGAAACAAGGCTCCCCATAAAGGAGGGCATTTAAACCTTTCCTAAGACCAGAATAAATCCCAAGCCATCCCACCCATCAGATCCTGATATGGCCCTGAAAAACCAGGAAAGAAGGGCACCTCAGCAAGCCTAGGTCACAGCTAACTTCAATCACAACCCCCACGGGTCCCTGACCTGTGTCATGTCACCAATCCAGGCTCTTCTGGTCTTAGCCCTTCAGAAGTGAGCCCCAGATCTGCAGAGGCAAAACCCTCTTCCACGAAGCTAGCCAAACCCAAAGGACACCAGAGCCCACAGGCCTCCTCTTCCTCGGGTGCAAAGCCCCCAGAGCCTCTCCCTTCAAGCTGTTTTTGCTCCACCACTACCCCCCAGATTGGCGCTGAGCCCCACTGAGCTCTTGGGGTCCTCCTGCAACTGACAGACCAACCTCCCTTCTCTCCACTGCGTGGAAGGGACCTTTCTCTAGACAACACCTAGGTGGCTACTCAGGTGTATGCTGGGGTTGGGGGTGGGAGTACTGCCGATTCATAAAATGTCAGAGCCCAAGGGGGCCTCAAGGAGGCTCCTCCCACCCCTATAAATCGAGAAACTAAGGCATGACAGAAGAAGTGACGCTCCCCACCCAGCTCGGCACTGAATCCCTCGTTTCCCCTCATCTTTTCTTGGGTGGTTCCCTGGCCAAGGTCACGCGGCGAAGCAGATGCGGGTCTTGGCGGAACCCAGGTATCCAGCTCCAGACTCAGGGCTCCGCAGCGTGCGGGGTGAGCAACAAAACCTGGTTCCAGGTCCTCGCCCCGAACGCGCGTGGCAGGTGCGGCGGTGCGCCCTAGCGAGAAGATCCACACCCTAATCCGCGCCCCCCAAAAAGCGGCCTTGAACTCGGGCTCCGTCCCCACGGACGCGCGCGAGCCGAGCCGCTAGCTGCAAAGCAGCGACAGCCTGGAGGTCACGGCGATGAGGCTGAGGAACTCCGGCGGCAGGGGCCGGGGAAGCAGCGTGCGGCCGGGATCCGTTGCACCCGCACGGCCGCCCCGGCCAGGTGAGGTCGCGCCAGTCCCCCGCGCCCCAGCCCGCCTCGCTACGTCCTTACCCAAGACACGACGCGCAGGATGGTGTGTGGCTGCCGCACCAGGGTGTAAGGGTCGAAGGCGCCCCCGGCTTTGCCCGCTCCGTACGCACCCCCTTCCATCGTGGCTGCACCGTGCGGCGCCCCCCGCTCGGCGCGCGCCGCGGACCCGTGCGCGTGCGCGGCGCCCCCGCCCCCTCTCCTGCGCGCGGGCTGGTGCGGTTCCGGGCTCCCGCCAGGGGGCGTTCGTGTGCACAGCCGGCGACGCTCTCGGAAGCGCGTGCTCAGGGAGCGTGTGCTGCGGAGTGGGGGTCTCGGTGCAGGGCGCGCTCCTCGCCCGCGGGATGACCTCTGCCAAGTGGCACCGATTAGGGGTGTGGACAGAAAAGTGCAGACGCGTCCCCGCCTTCGGGTGCCCTCCGAGCTGTCGCTCTCCAGGGAACCCCTCTTCGTTATTTATTTGTTTGTTTATTTGCCTCTGCTGTCGCTGTCTGCCCCAAATAGAGTGAAGGGGCTCCCGTTCGACAGTACGGGGCTCACTGAACGCGCCGCTGAATCGCTGGCTTCAGGAATGACCCTCTCTAAGAGACCTGCAGGGGAGCCTCGGGGCCCCCAGAACCACCTTGCCTCCTAGCCCCACCGATGACGTCATGCACGCGCACCCCCAACCTGGAGGGAACCGTAAGGGAGGCAAAGGCTGGGGTGGGGGGAAACCACAGACCTCGTGAGGTTCCCTTCCCCCTCCACCACCGCTCCCTGCCTCTTTTCTTAATCCAGTAATTAATTATGTAATTATTTCTCCCTTTGTCTCCTCTGCTTGTCGGTGGGCTCCCGCTGGCCATGTTATGTCTTGTTTGCTATATTCAAAAGTCTCCCAAACAGTGGGTGGTCAGCAAATACACCCTAGCCCTCATCATCATCATCCTGCCTCCCCCCTCAAATCCCAACAGTTTGACCTAAGGGCTCCAGGGTTGGTTTGTTTTTGGAGCAGACTCTCTTGTAGTCTAGGAAGGCTTCTGGAACTCACCATGCCGTGTGGACGGGGATGATTTTGAACTTCCGATCCTGCTTCTTTATACCAGCTATGGTGTTTCAGGCTGTGTTACCATACCCATCTATAACGAGCAATCTCTGATGCAGCTATTACACTATGATTCTATAAAACTGCTAGAAGAAAACAAGAGAAAATCCTTGTGGATAGGCAGAGTTTCTTCTTTTTTACTTTTTTGTTTTTGGAGACAGGCTTTCTCTGTGTAACAGTCCTGGCTGTCCTGGAACTCCCTTTGTAGACCAGGCTGACCTCAAACTGAGAGCCTCCTGCCTCTGCCTCCCAAGTACTGGGATTAATGGTGTGCACCACCACCTCCGGCTTCCCCTGGTTACTTTGTGTTAGCGTTTGCCTTCATGTTTCTACGTGCATCCTATAAGTGCAGTGCCTGGGGAGGCCAGAAGAGGGCGTGAGATTCCCCTAGACCTGAAGTTACAGACCTTGGTGAGTCATTGTGTGGGTGCTGGGTCCACTGCAAGAGCAACAAGTGCTCCTCACTACAAACTCATTTCTCCAGCTCTTTTGTTGTGTGTCCAGGCCTCCTGCTGTAGTCAGGCTGTGACCTCAAACTCACTATGTAGCCCACGTTCAGTTCAAACTTGGGGTAATCTCATGTGCTGAGATCTCGGACATGAGCTACCACATCTAGCAAAGCATTTTCTCAGAAGCACAAAGCTGTGAAAAGCTGTGCATGGCCAGGAGGGTTCCTGGGCTGAGCAGCCAACCCGTACTTACTACATGTTCTTCAAGGTTGTTGAAACATTCTCCCTCATGTCTGTATTGACTTCATCCCTAGTTCTGTGCCCGAGTTCGAGGCCGCAATGTAGATGAACACATTTGTGTCTTTCCATGTCTGAATTTATCCAATAACAATAAATTCACAAGGGGGAGCAATTTCACCAGCAACAGTTTGCCAGATAATCAATCCTGCCTACCTCGGTAATCTAGCTGAGGTGAATGCAGGTTCTCTCTTTTTTTTAAAGATTTATTTATTTATTATGTATACAGTGTTCTGCTTGGTGTATCCCTTCAGGCCAGAAGAAGGAGCCAGGTCTCATTACAGATGGTTGTGAGCCACCATGTGGTTGCTGGGAATTGAACCCAGGACCTCTGGAAGAACAGCCAGTGCTCTTAACCTCTGAGCCATCTCTCCAGCCCCCAGGTTCTCTTATGCTAATCTTAATTACTAAAATTAACTCTCTTGTCACACATCACACAGTAAGTCAGTCGATCAATTTAGCTGCGTATATGTGGTTTATGAAATGAGTACAGAGTTTAAAAGGTTACTGCATCACTGACAAGGTTTCAGAAGTGGGCCGACAGAAATGCAAATATAATCTGCCTTAATCAGATAAGGAACCCAACCAGCCTCGGAGAAGAGGGTATTGCGGTAGAGATCACTGAGAGTGGAGATGTAACCAGAGCTACGGGGATGCCAGGACAAGCCTGGGGGAAACAGCTCCAGCTCCAAACCTCCAGGGAGGTGGACAGGCACAGGAGTCAGCCATGTCCACAGCAAGGGACTGCGCTGAGCTTGAAGCCCAGGAACAGCTATTCCATTTATTTTTAATGAAAGCTTTTTGAACATTTTATTTATTCTTTTTATGTGTATGGATGTTTTGTCTGCATGTATGTCTGTGCACCCGATATGGCAGTGCCCACGGAGGCCAAATGAGGGCATCAGGTTCACTGGGACTGAAATTACAGGCCACTGTGTGGGTGCTGGGAATCCACCGGAGTCCTCTGGAGGAGTAGCCAGTGCTCTTAACTACTGAGCTATTTCTCAAGACCCTATTTTTAATTTATTATTATTATATTCATTGTGTATGTATAAATCAGTAGGCAACTTGTGAGAGTTCTTTCCTCCCATTAAGTGAGTTCTAAAGATTGAATTCAGGTCATCAAGCTTGAAAAGTGCCTCATATTTTATTTGCCAGCCCTCGTATTTATTTATTTGTTTTGGAAGTTGCATAAGTAATTAATTCGAGAACCTTCATTTTGTTTTTTGCCTTCTTTGGAAACAGGATCTCACTGTGTCACACTGGTTGTCCTGGAACTTGCTCTGTAGACCAGGCTGGCCTGAAACTCACAGAGATCTGCCTTCTTCTGTCTTCTCAGTGTTGGGATAAAGGCATACACCACTTTGTAAAGAATATAGCAGACTACACGGAGCCATCTGGGAGTGCCTTCACACCCACGTACTGCACTCCCACAGGCATTCAGCGTGACGGGCCCTGCCAATCAGCTAGGGATGGATGGATGGATTCCTCATATGTAGTTGGCCCTGGTGAAATAGATTATGTGATTCTGTGTATATGTCCTGGTCCTGCTTCCTGGCATACAGTCCCTAAAGCTCTTGGAATCTCTAAACTGATGTTCTCTTTCTGTATGCTAATGAGTGTACTAGAACCTCAGCCTCCAGCCTGCACAGAGGTTCTGGTAATCCTTATACCGAAAGGACCTCTGGGAGGACATCCGAATAGCAACTCTACTCACCATTAGAGTAACCCCATCTTTGTTATTAAGCACTGGCAAAAGATTATAGTTTCAAAATGTCTGAGTAACCCTCCGAATTTCTGAACCAGGTTGGCTGTGACCCTAGAATTTGGGAAGTAGAGACTGGAGCCGTGGTTCAAGGCTGGCTTCAGTACTTCAGTTCCAGTGTCAGCCTGGGTTACTTGAGACTGTCTCAAAAGAACAACAGACTGGAGAGAGGGCTCAGAGCAAATGCTGCTCTTGCAGTGAGCCAAAGTTCAGATGCTAGCAGTCACGCTGGGTGGTTCATAACCTATAACTCCAACTCCAGAGGGATCTGCTGCCTATAGCCTCCTTGGGCACCTGTATTCCAGTGTACATACCCACACACAGACACATACATATAAAATAAGTGAATAAATAAATAAAGGAAAAAAATTACAAATAAAATAAATCTTCCTTGTTTTTTGCCTTCAAAGGTTTCCCATTAAGCCAGGGAAATGACTCCGTATTTAAAGTGCTTTCATTGAAAGCATGAGGACCTGAGTTCCAATCCCAAATACTCCTATTTAAAAAGTTATATATAAGCCGGGCAGCAGTGGCGCATACCTTTAATCCCAACACTGGGGAGGCAGAGCTAGGCGGATCTCTCTGGGTTCAAGGCCAGCCTGGTCTACAGAGCGAGATCCAGGACAGGCACTAAAATTACAGAGAAACCCTGTCTCAAAAAAAAGTTATATCTAGTAGGACACACCTGTAATCCCAGAGTTAGGAGGTAGAGACAGATAAATCCTGGGGGCTTACTGGGCAACCAGTATAGCTACCCCAAATGGCTTCTGTCTCCAGGTTTATTGAAAGACTCAGTCAAAAATAAAGTGGAAGTCAGAGACAGGCAGATCTCTGAGTTGGAGGCCAACCTGGTCTACAGAGTGAGTTTCAGGACAGCCAGGGCTACACAGAGAAACCCTGTCTCGAAAAACAAAACAAACAAGGTGGAAACAGCCCTGTGGAGACAGGTGGATCTGTATGTTTTGGAATAACCTAGTCTACATACTGAGTGCAGGCTACATGGTGAGACCTTATCTCAAAAGATAAAAAATAAAAGAAAATAGAAAGAAGGGCTGGAGAGATGGCTCAGCGGTTAAGAGCACTGGCTGCTCTTCCAGAGGTCCTGAGTTCAATTCCCAGAAACCACATGGTGGCTCACAACCATCTATAATGAGATCTGGTGCCCTCTTCTGGCGGGCCAGGATACATGCAGACAGAACAGTACACAAAATAAATAAATAAATCTTTAAACAATAAAAATAAAAAGAAGGGGCTGGAGAGAGGGCTCAGCAGTTAAGATGACTTGCTGTTCTTGCAGAGGACCCTAGTTCAGTTCCCAGCACCCACACTGTGACTCACAACCATTGTAATACCAGTAATTCCAGTTCCAGAGGATCTGATCTCCTTTCTGATCTCCCCAAGTATCTTGCAAGGAAAACACACACACCATACATACACACACATACTACTAATAATAATTTAGAGGTGGGTAAGGAGCCGCATTTAAAAAATTAACTAAGCTGGGCAGTGGTGGTGCACACCTTTGATTCCAGCACTTGGGAGGCAGAGGCAGGTGGATCTCTGTGAGTTTGAGGTCAGCCTG